CATTACATTTTATAACTTTATATTTTATAATATTAAAATGTTACATTAAAATATTATTTTAAAGACTGCTAACAAGATATTAACAGTGAGAGACAGCGCCCTGAGGCAAGTGCAACAGGCTTGCTCTTCCACCACTCAACTTCCACTTCAGAAGCAGTGAAATGGCTCCCAGCTGCTCCCATTTTACAGATGGGGAAACAAAGTCCCCTGTCTTACAGCAGAAAACAAGGATTAGAGCACCATCTAGATCTAGGCCTTGCCCTCTGAATTTCTTCTGCCTTTAAACAAAGCTAGAACACAACCAAAAACATGCAAGAATGCCCTAAGTGCTTTGTAGTGCTGGCTTAAAGATACCATAAGAACACGGCACTCCTTATGGCAAGCAGCCAGTACCAAATGACTAGAATAAGCAGTATGGTTTCTGTTTCCTCTATTACTGGGCAAATATATGAGCACAGACACATACAAGATTTAAAAGGCCTGGAAATAAACTGAAAGAAACTGTGTGCATTGCCGAACAGCAGAGGGTTTTTGCAGCAAGGAAATTCTGTCCTGGTGCAATCAATTAATTAACTTCACTATGGCCAGGATCTGGAGCAGAAAGAGCAAATAGCCACGGGATGAAAGGAACTGTGCAAGTGCAAGCCGGGTTCCCTTGCTGCCATAGGAAACAGTTGGCTTTGCCTGGATATGCAATATCCAGGAACCAAATCCTATAGTCAGAAACACTGTCCTGTTGGATATGGTAAAGCCAAAGCAAAAGCTGCACTAGCCAGGATGACTAACAGCGGGAGGAAAGTGCTAGCCCACCCTACAGGAAATACACTCTCCCCTCCGAGATTATAGATTAGAAGAAGAAAAAAAACTTTGCAAAATACATCAGAAAGCATTTCTTTTTTTTACAGCAACTGTGAAGTAGTCTGCTAGTTTCAAATAGGCTCATGTAACACCACTTAGTTTTCCCTTAAATCATATCTTCTAAGGGGGGCAGTGACACTTGCCACTATTAATACTCTTAACTAGCAGACGGTGCCAGCTGAGACACAAAGCAGCACATTTCCGGAAAGAATAGCTCCAATCTTGCAAATCACACCTTTCTGTTTTGAGGCTGGTATACCTCAGCATGAAATAACCCGCAAAAACCCACCCCATCCTGCACAGCTCATCCTGACTCAACATCCACTGAAGTCCCAGCGCAAAGTGTCTCTTGCCAACTGCAAACCTGGCAGCTGGGCACTCTGACCCTGGAAGGGTCAGGACAGGACTGGTCCCTGGCCCGTCTTTGGACATCATGAGGACAGAGCCAGACTCTTCTCAGAGGTGTTCAGTGACAGGACAAGGGGCAGTGGGCACAAACTGAAGCATAAGAGGTTTCAGTTGAACGTGAGGAAGAACTTCTTTACATTGAGGGTGACCGAGCACTGGAACAAGCTGCCCAGGGGGGCTGTGGAGATTTCTCTGGAAATATTCCAAGCCTGCCTGGATGCTGTCCTGTGCAACCTGGGTGACCCTGCTTGAGCAGGGGGGTTGTATTGGGTGATCTCCCAAGGTCCCTTCTAACCCTTGCCATTCCCTGATTCTGTGGAGTATCCTATGGGATATTCTTCCTAAAAATCCCTGGAACCTGCAAGCAGCCAAGTACCCCAAGCCTTGGCAAGGCAATGGGAGAAAGAACTAAAATAAACTTCCCTTAGAGTTTACATTTGTTGCTTTCCCACAAAACAGAAGCTATTCATCTTTCACAAGCAAGCAGATCACTAGCTAAGATCTTTACACTGAGGTCACTACAACACTCCTAGAAAGACAAGTGTATTACCATGGGCTAAGAATTTTTGTTGCTTTGGGTTTTGTTTTTTTTTTTTTTAAACAAAGATAAAACAGTCCTTGCAGGGAAGAAGCCGGTGACACGCTCTACAGCAAAAGTAGCTGTTACGTGTTTCAAGAAGTCCTGAACTGCCTCAGGTAGGACCATGCTTGGAGTCAACTTCATTATTTTGAGTCAGGAGAACATTCAAACCTTTTAAAAAACTGGATTAGTAGAGCAAAGCAAAGGCACTCGAAAGAAATGACGATCAGTCTCTGAGGACAAGATGGGCAGAGGCAACAGAAAAGGACAAGCATGATTTCAGCGTTTTCAACGCTGAACTATTTACCCTCCTTCACTGGCCAAAGGGAATAGCACAAACACTAAGCAAAGCACTTTTCATATTATTTCTGGGAACTATTTTAGGGAATTCTAAAGAAGTGACTAACAGCGAGAAGCATAAAAGAATATTCAAGAGTTTCCAGACTTTCACAAGAGCTCGTCCATCTGCTCGGGTAGCAAGCAGGAATCAAACTGCAAATCAGACAAAGGTTTAGGCAAGTTGAAGCCAAATGAAACAACTGCAGCTTGCTAGAAGTTCAAAACAAGCCAAACCTTGAGACATTTAAGCTTCAAGGAACAGGAATGCAGAACATTAACATATCCCCGCCATCCAAAGATTGGTGGCAGAGACAAAGGGCTGGTAGCAATGGGATTTCCCGACACAAAAGCAGCCTGACAGACCGCAGGCAGGGAGCTGCACCACCAGCTGCTGCCAGAGCAGCATTTTAACTTCCCAGGGCCTCAACTCTCATTTCTGATTTTATTCTTTATTTTATTTTTTTCAGGTGATTACCGGAGATGCTTCAAGGCAGACATAACATGGCTTGGGGTTTTTTTCACCACCCACAGTATCAGGGTAACCATCAGCATCCACTCCGGGGAAAGAAAAAAAAAAAACCAACCAAAAAAAACCCCTCTTTGAGCAAAAATGACTGCTTCTCAATGAAACCGTGAAAGAGTAGTTACAGAAACCTCAACCATCTTCAAGGCTGTGTCAGTGAGCAACCAGGGAGGTCAAACTGTTGCTGAAAGAGCGACCAAGTCACTTCCTCTGTGCCAGATGCTACAGGGCAAGGGCCCTGAGCATGCAATGATGAGTGAGTCAATGGTAAAAAGCAAACACCAACTGTACATCTACAAGACTCCCTCCTTGCCCATGAATTCCAGAGACACATGACTAAGTCTTGTTGCAAAGAGGAAACGTTTTCCTAATCAACCACTTCTGCGCTGGAGTGCCACGCTGAATCAACTCAAACATCATTTAGAAAGGAGGCCCTGGTGCACTGAACACCAATCACCTCCACTTCTGCTTCTGACCCTCCTACACTAGCACATCTCAAAGAAATTGAAGCAAGCAGGGGAGGAGTCTTCAAAACACAACTGACAAGATGAGTAAAGACGGCTTACAGTTTTAAGAAAATTGCTAAGCCTCATTTTTAATACCTTCCTGATTTTCAGACATTACAACCAACCTGCAAACACAGCAGCGTTCCAGCAGAAGAGACCATCAGTCTGTCCACCTTCTCCCAGCTTTCCCCAGCCTATTGCTCTTTCTTCTGCTTGCTACCCACTTACATTCTCCCAGCATTAACTCTTCTTGTCCATCCAACCCCCACCTGCCCTCCGGCAACATTTCTCCCCTCCCTTGCATTCTCCCACTGTGCCAAGGTCTGCCCCTCTCGCGCTGCAAACTGTCGCTCCCTAACCCAGATCTGGAGCATACAAGAAGTCCCACTTCCCGAGACATCCTGCACACTTAGATTTCCAATTACATTCAAAATCTCAATTAGTAGAAGAGAAATCACCATTTCAGCACAGGCTGGATACCAAGCAGACCAATTTTAGGATGTGAAGTCACACAAAATACTCAAGTGCTCAGAAAAATGTTTACACCTCCACACCTTGCAATGTATTCCTCCCTTACAGATTTTCTTCATGCATTATAAGTGCTAGGGTACCAGCTGCAAAACGTGACCACCTTTGTGTATAGGAGATGCTATTTAGACAGACAATGCTCCAAGTAAAATAGAATTTTAAAAAATTTTTAAATTGCATTCACCATCATGGTGAGCAGTTGCAGCTCCCAATTCAGTTCTTCAACTGTTGGGTGGAAAATTCCCCATTGCTGAAGCTAGAGAGATCGTCAGAAAACTTGGCAAGCTACCAGAAAACTGCGCTAATGCTGATTTGTAATTACTGTTTTGATCAAATACAAGCAAGACCCCTATTGTGGGGAAGGTTGGCCACAGGTGACTAACACAGCTGTACCCAAGACTCGAGGCGCATTGGTCACTGCATTTCAGGCAGAATTTTCAATTAGCAATCCTCTCATTAATGAATCAATGATGACAGCAGGCTTTGAGCTGATGGACCCAAGCAGCCAGCGCAGCTGCAGGCAGGCGGCGAGCACGGCTCACGTGCCACACTGCTGGGCAGTGCCTGAGCAGGCAATAGCCCACCGTCTTCAAACGTAGCAGAGCTCGCTGCCAAGAGGAACAGAACGACCTGCTCCACGTCCACCGGGGAGAGGACAAGTAGTCACGGCCTTAAACTGCAGCATGGGAGATTTAGGTTGGGCATTAGACAAAGCTTTCGAACAGGAAGGATAATTAAGCGTAGGAATAGACTGCCTGGGGAGGGACAGGAACTGCCGTTCCTGAAGGTTTTACAAGCGGTGGGAAACATCTATCACACTGACCTCACTTTGGGTAGGGCGTGGATTAGGCAACCATTCAAAGACCCAGCTCTGTTTTCTAACAACTCCCCAAACCCCCACTGATCTCCTACTTTACGCTGTTCCAATCAGCACAGAAATAGGTTTTGTTTAGAATACAGTACGCGGGGAAGGCTGAGATTTAGAGCAACCGAAGGGCAGTCAACTGCAGGCAGGGCCTGGGCGAGCCTCCTCACACTGCTCTGCCAGGGTGCTGGCACCCATTTTCACCCCGAACAGGGGCTGCCATTTGGGTAGCAGGTTCCATGTGTGAGCACACAGCTAGCCAAAAGGCAGACTGATGCCCACCAAGCTTGCTCACAAGCCCAGGCCTTCAGGCTCCAGATTTAGTCCAGTGCAAGGCAGCCCTCCTCCACCTCCTGCCCCGCAGGACTTCACCGAGACAGACAAACAAGTTACCTTTTTAACATTTTCCTCCTCCTCTTGGCGTTTCTCATAGTGTGAGAAGTCATCAAAGATGGAGGTGGTGTGCTTGTAGGTGGCAATGATTTTCAACACCTGCTTAGCCTTTTCCAGAGGCACCTCCTGAGTGTCCCTGGAGTTGGTCACTGGTTTATTCTCGTTGTTCTCTAGGCGGATGTGCCGCAGCTGGCTGTTGGGAACGTCCTTCACAAAAATCCACCTGACATCAAAACGTCCCTTCCACTTGTCCTGGGACCACACACCCGCACACGTGTTATAGTCCACAGCAGATTTCATTTCTGCTACTCCGCAGAAGTGACCGCTACCGTTGACACTGAACAGTAAGTAAACGGGGCCCTTCCCGTTCATGGAGCGATAGGCGGCATCCAGTCTCTTGTTGCCGTGCTCTGTACTGCACCAGATGTTATATTTAATGGAACGGTGGATATCGTCCTCAGAGTAACTCTTTATGATGAAAACCCGGCCGTGCTTTGGGTTCCAGTCAAAATCCTTGGGATTGTAGTTGTTGATGGATCTCAACTTCTCCAAGACCGGGTGCGGCTCTGAAGGAGCAGAACCAGAACTGGCCTGAGACTGTCCCACTCCATTACCATCCACTCCGTGTGGGCTGTTAGCGATCTGCTGGCCCATGGGCTGGGGGGACACCTGGGCTGGCTGCTGACCAATATTCTGAACTAAAGCCTGCGATGGGGCTTTTGCCACCGGCCCTTTGTTATCCCAAGTTCCAATATCCATGTTATGTTTTATCGGAGGTGGTGGAAGACTTGAACCTGCAATGCCATTCTTGGTCTTCAGCTTGGGCTGCTGCTTAGCTGGTTTGCTAGCAATGTCAGCCCAGGAGGTCGGCTTTGGAGGAGCAATAGTAGCCGGAGGCAAACTGTTAGATGCCACGATATTACTGGTAATGGATCCGCTACCGACAGCTGAACCAACGACTTTTGGGACATTGCTTGCAACATCTGTGCTGCCCAGCTTCAGAGCTGCCATCCCTTGGTCGATGGTGTTCATGCCAGGAGCCTTGTTCAGAGTCTCGTTAGCAAAGGCAGATTGCCCATCAATCATTGCTCCACCCAGTGAGCTAGGGGCATAGGCATAATTGCTACTATAGCCAGAACTTTGAGTGGACTGTCCCTGAGAACTGTTATTCCCCCAAGCCGAAAAGTCTATCCCACTTGGAAAGAAGTTAAAGCCATGCTGCCCAAGAAATGGAGTGCTGCCAAGGGCCCCTGGCTGCCCGAACATCGCATCTGGGAGAAAGTGAGGCTCCCCGTTGCTCAGCTGTCCGTAAGAGGTTAAGTAGGGCATGGGTGGGTCACCCCCCGTAGACCAGGCGGCTTCGCCTAAGGAGTAGGAGAATCCAATGGAGGGACTGTAGTAGTTCGGTAAGTAGGAATCGGACATTGCAGTGTATGCATTATTCTGAAAAGAAAAAAAACCACAACAAAAAATAAACACTGAATAATTAGAATGAGTTGAACAAATTTCAAGGGACCAGGAATAAAAGCCATCTTAGACTTTCCATGCCCCACCCCTCCCTACCTTAGGGCTGGGCAGATAAACAGGCCCGGCCTTGAAACACCTCCTTTGTTATAAGTGCTCTAAAAACCGTTTCATTGCCAGAAAGATTAAACACAAAGGCTTAGCAAGCTTCCCTGTGCTCAGACAGGAACGCGGTGTGTTCCTGATGCATGACGTGGGTCTGGACACCAGAGTGCCCCAGAGCTCCTGCTCAGGCTATCAAAACAGTATCTTCCCTAGCATCCAAATATTACCTTCTACTTTTTGTAGTTACTACCAAAGAGGGCTTTTCTTGCCCAGGTAATGTACGTATCCACCTTAATTTTGCTGTTTGAGGGGGAAGTTGGGGAAAGGGCTCAGACGTGGAATATGGAGGAAGAAGGTCCAGCAGAAGTGCACTGCCAAAATCATGAATGTCCCTAATTGCCTTCCTTAGTCCCTACCTTAAGCTTACTACCCATGAAAACAGCTTTATCCCCACAATTTAAAGTTTCAGAGCTCAAAATATCCCAAGAAGTTGCAAACAAACATGGATTTAAAGCCTCATCCTCAAAACACACACTGCTCCAGTGCTGCAGGCTCATACTAAAAAAAATACCTGAAAATAGGGAGTAATCAATAGGGTTTCAACAGGAGCCTTTTATAGCACGGTGACAGCAGCAGCACAAGAAGGCAGGCTTCAAATTCAGAGAGGAAAAATAGCTGTTCCATGCCTTGGTCTCCCTTTTACCATCGAAGCAGCCTTTAGGTTATGAAAACAAATGCCTAATTTTACAATTAGGGAACTCTCAGACATCACCAAGATTTGCTTACATGAAAAACATCTGTCATTCCACATTCAAACCAATGCCCCCTCCGGGGAGCGGTTAAAGCCACGCTAATGGACATTATGATCCAGTAATTTGAACCTGTGTGCAGACAGCCTCATGCTATACAGCCGCTTACATGCCAGCCCAATGCAGATGAGATGAAAGTCAGGTTCAGTTCCCATTTAAAAGCTTGGCTCACAGCAGGCTCTACTCCATTTTTCACTGAATCATGTTTTCACGTGCCAAGTGCAGCTCCCGAGGGACTTCACGCTGTACTGAAATCTATGGAGGCTCTCAAGATGGCTCTGACACCCTCCAGAAACAGCTGGTTTGCCTCTCCACCTTCCACCGAGTTAAAGGAAAGCAACAGGTTTGGGGCTAACCCAACCGCAAGTTCACAAAAATTAATAGAAATTATTTAGCATAAGGTGTTCAGAGACAAGGTTTGCTTCATTGTATAAAACACTGAGAAGCTTTCTGTGGTACTTCATGGTGTGAATGCATGAAAACCCAGAGACGCTCTCTCCAGCTTTTCCACCTTCCCAAAGAAGGGGTCCCAAAAGCAAATAAATAACAAAACTAACTCATATGCAGGGTATGGTTTTACTAATTGAGGAACTCAGCCCTGCTAAACCCAAACCAACGAACTGTCTCTAGGGCTCAATCTGTCCAAAAGCACGAAGGCACTCATTTGTAAGGCAAATAAAGGAACTTTAAATAAAATTATTTTGAACCAGCAAAGTCTCTTCAAAAGATAATCCCCTCAATTATAAGAGTAACAACGTACCCTCCTGGAAATTACCTTTAATGGAACATAAATATGCCGGCCCATACATAAAACCTGAGCCCAGCAGGCAGAGCAGCACTGGCCTCTCCGCAGCCTTCTCCCTCAAAGCGCATGAAGCACATCACTGTCAGATGAAAACCTGTCCCCTTGTCACCTCACAGTATTTTCTGACACCCGTTAAATGTTTAACTTCATGAGAGATTCTAACACAGTCTGTATTAAGCTCTGACTGATAGATCATTCACCAGCTATACTCATGTAGTAAGGAGGGAGCACAGGAGTTAACCAACAGTGGGGCACTGCCAGCTCAAAGAAGATTTAAGAGCCCCGCTGCTGTTTGCTACCTGAATGTCTAGGACTACACTTTGCTATCAAACATGCCACCTCGCTCTGCTACCCTGCACTCGCACAACCGACACAGTTCCTGAGTAGTATGCAAATAAAGCTTCACCGGCTTTTAATTCTCTCCAATGACTAAGACTTTTTGTGCAGTTATTTCCTCAAATTCACTATTCCTCTTCACCTCAAGACCAGAACCAGGATTTAAGCTTACTTATTGTTGCTGTTTAGCTTTTGTTTTTTAAACTGTTGAAGAATCGCAGTGTATCTGAGCTTTAAAATACACAGGAACCTAATTTACTAGGCTGATGAGCTAGTAACAGTCACACCTGAAATGCAGTTCCTGAATGAAGAGCCATGAAATTTTACAACTTCTTACCCTGTACTTGCGTGGAGAGCTCAGAAAGCAATTTCAGAAGCCACTTGCATTACCCTGCAGCAGTGGGCTGCACATAACTCATTTTTCATCTGTAACTCTCTTTGCCATCTTCAGAAAAGAAGTGAATGATTTGACACCTTTGTATTTCTGAGCCTGGCTGGTCGGCTCAGCAGAACCATGGTCCCCTCCCAGACTGAACCCTAGGGTTTTGTTTTCTACTGTATCGAGTGTCAAAACATGGGTGAGAGCTGACAAGCAACACAGCTTGGAGAAAAACTGAGATAAAGTCACCCTAAAGTTTCATTCAAAGTTAACACGGCGCTTTTTTACCTTGCTCCTGCTGACTTTCTAGAGCAACCGCTCTGCTCTACCTCCTGGGCCATGCTCCAATCACTTCCTTATTTTTAAAAAGTATTCTTACCAGTGTGACACACACAAAAAGAAACAAAGTGTTCAGAAGTTCTTAATCAAACACGCAAAATAGGGTAAAATATCATATTGCTTCTTGGCATGATAGTAACGTTCATTCTCTTTAGGAGATTTAAATAAACCTACACTTTGCAGGAAATACTTCCACATTCAAAAGGAAGCTGGAAATTGGTGATGTTAGTTTCTGGGATAGAAAAAACCCACCATTAAATGACAGCTACCAGGAAAGTAGCCAGTTTTATTCAAGACTTGAGAAAGTACTCACACTCTCTTGCCCTATGCAGGTCGAATTTAGGCTTGTAACTTTTCCAGGAGCTGAATGCAGTAAGTTATCTTAAAGGACAGGTTGAATTCTGAAGATGATGAACCACTGACAGGACCTTAAAAAGTATTGAGCCTCATCTCTTTAGCACAAACTAGGAAAATACTCACTGAAAATCTAACTGAGACAGAAACCTGTTCTTGTGTTTCAATAAAACATGCATCACTTATCTGAAAAAAAAAAATACACTGACTAGTAAAAATGATCAAAAAATATAGAAAAGGAAAACCAGAACAGCTTATTTTTACTAATCACAACTGGAGAGGAAAGAGAAGCCAAGAGAATGAATTAACTGCTCCAGCGCTACTACAGATGTTTATCTACAATGCTTACTTGTACCATTTAATCAGCTGAACTCCATCTGTTATGTGCCACTCTCCTACCCCTCAGTAAGAAAAAACAGCAAAAACCAGTTAACAGTGGAGCAAATTTTAAGCAGAAAGTCAAGAGGAAAAAGTATCTGGAAATCTGACTTTCAGGAGCTGATCACAAGCTCTCCAGCTCGACTTCTAACTAAAGTTCTCAAAAAACATTAACAGCCTTTATCACATGTGTGTTCTGTGGTTTTTCTGGTGAAAAATAGAGAAAGCCCCATGACACGCATTTTCAGTTACTTGGCAGGGAAATAAAAATGTTGAAGAGCAAAAAAGCCCTCAGAGCTTAACTGCATGGGTATGAGGCAATTTCAAAAGGCAATACAGCGCATCTCCTCTTATGGTGTAAAGAACCAGAAACCAGCAAGGAAATAAGGTCGTAACAGTAAAACTGAAAGAGCAGAAATGGTAACCTTGAGACAGTTGTGTTGAGAGAAAAAAAAAAAAAAAAAAAAAAGAGCTGAACACCAACCGTAGGAAGTCCTTACGCCCCCAAAAAGTTGCTAAAACCTTTATAGCTCACCCACCACAGCCTAATGGATTTTAGTGTCTTCTGCCTGGAGAGAGGCATGTATAAAACAGCATCTTGTGATAGGAAAGCTGGCAAACATCAAAATGCAATCAGGGGAGATGGGGAATGAGTGGAGATTTGTCAAGGATGCCAAATTCGCCTTCGCTAGAGCACGCTTCCTGCCCCTCAGCAGGTACTCATACTCACCGGCCGGGCCTGGGGACTCAAGTAGGGCTCAAAGTCATCATCGTTTAACCCATCCTTCTGATGCACGGATCCGTTTTGCACTGAGGAAGAGATGTAGAGCATTAGAAAGAACTCTGCCGATAAAACTCAAACGTTCGCCAACTTCAAGTATTTAAAGACAGACCTTATGACACAACCACCCCTCGCTAGTTTACACCATGCTTAGCCCAGCTGAGAGCGGAAAGATGCTCCACCACCGCACAAACGCTCTTTAGCAGCAAACTTTCCCCAGCCCCCGGAGGGACGACAGGCTTCACCGCTCACGGTTTGTTTTGCTCCCAGCCGCCCCGCTGCGCAAAGGCACGGAGACCCGAGGATATGCCCAGCAAATTTCGGAGGAGATCCTCCCCGTCCCTCCCCCGCGGGCACGCTCCCCAGAGGCGCCGCTTTCCCGCGGGATCCCCCGTTTCCCAGCCCTCCCCACCGCCCCCGGGCTCTCACCTTTGTTGCCTTGGCCCTTGGGTCTCTGGCGCGGCGGCGCGGCATGGAAAGAGAGAGAGCAAGCAGTGAGTCAGGGGGGCGAAGCGGCCCCGGCGCGGGCGGGGAG